AATGATTTTGAAAAGGCTATGGAAAGAGGATTGAGCATCTAATGCTTATCTTAATGCTAATATATGTAAGATAGGCAAAAGTAGAGTTTTAAAAATGAAGTGGGTAAACATTGGTCCCCTTAAGCTCTCTCCTTCAAGGTGAGATTCAGTTATCACCAGTATTCTGTCACTAACAGTTTTTTTTTTTTTTTCTAATGTTGCCTGCTCTGCTTATGCACTATTGTAAAACGCAATTTTTAAAATATCACATTTAAAATTCTTACAGTATACATAATACTTTGCATATAGCATACACTATTGTATAAATACATTTGAAGTAAGCTAATAGGATATCTTCTCTTTTTTTTTTTTTTCCTGCTTCTGTAACTTTTTTCTACCTTATTTTCCTTGGTTTGCTCCTAAAATTCTGAGTTTGGATCACTGAAGTTACACCCTCACAGAGGCAGGAAGGTTGCAAGGCAGGAAGGTGACAGTTTTACACATGGACAAAGCTCTGCTGATAACTGGAAGATACTCTGAATTTTTAGAAAGTCAAGTAGTGAATAGTTTAAATAAGACACATGGTATTTCCCCTTTCTAGGGAGCCAGACTCAGTATCTGGAGGGTATAGTTTCATGTAAAGATCATTTGTATTTGAAATGCAGTCTCAAGGTTATGAATTGCTTAGCTCTCCAGCTCTAATAGCACTAGTTATTTATAATAGCACTGCATTATGAAAAATATTTTAAGGAATACTTGTGAGATTTAAACATCAAGAATGGGCAACAGAACTTCAGGTTAATGGACAAAAATAAGTATTATAAGTATATAAGTATATAAGTAACATGCTTCTAACACACAACTTGCTAGACTGACATAATGCACAAAAACACACAGAACAGATCTTTTAACCTGTAGAAAAGAAACATAAGACTACTACAGGGTACTGCACAAACTTTATTTTGATTTTTACCAGTTGACTTATGTTACTTTGTATCATAACCCAAGCTAGTCAAACTTCTAACTTCACTGTTCTTTTAACATGTAAAGTAAGTGTCAGGTTATCTGACACACTCTAATGTAAGCTGCATATTGGAGCTCATATTGTATTTGCCATATCTCAACTTTTAACTTGCAAATATTTGTTGAGAACAGACCTTTTTATACTACACATACTTTATGAACAATCCCTTTTAGGAACCCATGTAAAAGGCTAATTAATTTTAAGGACCTAGTAAATTGCAACTTCCATGGAATTGATAAGTCACAAGTCCAGACTAATAAATTTTGAGGAATAATACATTTCAACAGTAGTCATGAAATGAAATTTGAAGCCCTGAAGTAGGCAAACTACTCTGTAGGTCTTTCCCCAAAGATTTTAAAACCTTAAGATACTAATGCTGATGAGATGATGATAAAATGAATAATTCTCTGCCTCCATGTCTTAAATACAGCTGCACTTCACTATTTTAAGTAGCATAAAATGAAGAGTTCAAGCTGGCACTTCTGACAACTTCATAAACCTTCCTATTCCCCCTGCTAGAGGAGCACAAACATTCCACCCACTGCTTGACTGGTCTTTATGCAATGAGACTCTTCTCCCTTCCCCTCTCCATTCTTCCCTTCCCCACTAAGTATGCATGAACATCTCAAAGAGGGTACTTTCTTACTACAAACTCAGTGATGCTGAAGGCTAGAAGCTTGCCTTCAAACTAACAGACAAAATAGCTATGTCTGATTCTGAAGTTAGACTCAGAAACTGGGATTTCTAAACAAAGCCACACTTACAAGCAACTGTATTGAACTTATGAACTTAAATAGCCTTTCATCTTCATCACAAGTTTCCTGGGATCTGCAAATTAAGGGTTTGAAGAGCACTATTGCAGAGTCATTATGGTCATTACAACTGTTCCTATCCAGATCACATGCAAGTTCGTTCTGTTTTTCCACTACAGATCTTAATTATGCACCACCAAACTGCAAGCATGAAATCATGCATTTGGCATGCCCTGCCAACTGTGAACTCAAATTCTATTTTACAAACCCTTTATTGACAGTTTTTTTGAACCTGCAGTCAGAAAGCCTGTGTCACTTCCATTTGTGTACAATCATCCCCTGGAAGTAGACAAGAAGGGATGCACGCAAACCCAGTATTGTTCAGTGTAGAAGTTTACAAAGTATTTCTGTATCTTGTCTTGTCATCATATACTGGTTACTTTACAAATCCTTCTAGGAAGCCCTCTAAAGAAGAAAACTAAGCACTCAAATATTGCCCGAGACAAATAAGCAATAGTATTGTAGGTACGCAAGCACAACATTTTAAATAGTTGACTCATTACTAAGTACCAATTTTTATTTTCTTTCAGCTAAAGCTCAGCTTGCAGAAAGGAACAAGTAGCCTAGTAGGGTGCAACCAGTCTTTGTGCCCCATCTGAGACATCTAAGGACTAGCTTTAGTATGTACTTTAAGCCTGCTAAAAGTTCAGCCTAAATTTTCGTAGGCAGGAGTTTAGGTAAGGGAGTATTATCTCAATTGTATGCTCTATGCAAAGTTTCCTTTTCTGTTAGCAAAAAAGGAGAAGTTACTTGAAATAAAACTAGAGAAATAAGAAGTTTCCTAATGTCTCCCTCAATTTCACCTTTCATAGAGTAAAGATAACTAGTTACAGGTGTATTCATCACACACTGAATCTATCTGATCAATGGCATTTTTGCAGCAATTAAAAGGACAGGAGAGGGAGAAAGCGACCAACAATCAAGTAGTACACTGGATTTGGAGTAATATAAGCAGAGGATATCCTAATCAACAAAACAGGGCTAAAATAGAAATATCCCAAGCAGATGTACATAATTAAGGATACCTACGGAATCACATTATGGGGAAACCCTCATGTCTTTCCTATGATGTCAGCACACCAGGGTGCCTCGCTGAAGTGACTGTACATTGATGCATCAAGGATGTGAAACGAATAGGAACAATTAGTAGACTGTATACAATTATAGGGCTATAAATTCACTGGGATTATGCATATATGGTGGGACAGCTCACACATCTGGTTGAGTATCACACTATCAGATCCTAATCTAGATCCTAGCAGATCTGGTGCAGAAACTTAGTAGTGTTACAACAGTTTCTATAAGTGCACTTTCAGAAGTGTTGTACAAGTGATCCACTGCTACAATAACAGGTTGTTACATAGGCTAGTGTCATAATGAATTCAGAAGTTTGTAGCAGAGTCAGAAGCATTCTCCTTCTATTACAGAGTTCTGCAGTTTTCACTTCACACCTTATTAAAATTTCCTAATTCACTTCCAAAGCAATCAGGAACTCCCCGACACAACTAGCAATAGGCAATGCAGCTCATGCACTCCTATGTTTCCTACCAGCAGTTGACAAAAACAGGATTCAAGGGAATAGGAGAATATCATTCCTTACCATGGCTGGAAACTAAAAAGAAACTATGGAAGGAAATGCTTTGCTCTGGAGCCTCTCCTTCCCCCACTTAGTATTTCTTCAGGAGTGATATGAGTGTGGTATGCAGAAAAGCTGATGTGACTTGTGATAAAGCAAACAGTGTGCAAGAACAGGGAAACCAGAAGAGACAGGTAGAGCGCTTTATGAATCTCTCTACTCTCATATGTATTTACAGTTATATGGTGCTACTCCATACCAAGATGGCTTATATAAGACTTATTCAGTAAAGGCTGGGTAGAAAATCAGGTAGCTAAGAAAAGGAAAAAGTGTTTTAGGAAAAACTAATAAATATGAAATCCAAGACTTAGATAACAGCAACTGGTAAGCAACTACAAGAGAAGAATGTGAGAAACAGTGGACTAGAGAAAAATAGCATGCAAGATAGGTGAAGAAAAGCACCCACATTCAGCAGCTGGAAATAAGTAATATCTGCAAGACATTTCAGTTTTAGGGAAGAAAAAGAGCTTTTAACCATCCTTGTACTTTACATTCATCGGCACAAAGTAGCACAGGTACAAAACTGTTATTTCAACGATATTTCAAATACAGGTAGTAGTTATTGCCCCTTCACTTTTCCTGTATTTGGAACTGAAGCCAAAATAGTGACAGTTAACCTGGCTGTCTTTCTGAATGGTGGGGAACCCCAAAGATTGGGGTCTAACACTTACATGATACAAAGTCTAGCAAAACAGATAGGGAAAGCAACATCCCAATAGCACACTTGGAATCCCCTAACTCCTGCTGCAAGATAACACAAAAACACCCCATCAGTGAACTACAGAATCAGAAGGTAGTGTAAGTTATTGCTATGCTGCATACTATCTTTATAAAAAATTTCTTTATATAGGAAAATTTATAAATTCAGCCATATCCTTAAACAGGTAGTATCTAGCATGGCTTTAGGCAAAAGATGCCAACACATTTTGAAATTAAACCAGCTACCTTAAGCGCTGAAACAGAGAAAGTCATTTACAATTTTAAATGTAAACAAAAACCCACACACTTAAATAGTTTGCGTTTTTCCATACTTGAAATCACTTTTATTTGAGAGGAACATCATGCGGCAGTTTCAAACAGATCTTACCAAGGAAAGCAGAAGTTTCTCCTCCCTGTGTCCTTCAGTGAGCAGGACTGGCACAGAAAAGCTCATCATCACACCAGGGAGTGTGTAGCACCAGCATCCAATAGAAAAAGCATTTGACCTCAATTTCAGTTTCTTTCCCCCCACCTTCTCAATTTGATACCAAAAGAAAAGAAATGATAAATTTAAATACTAGCAAAAAACTGAAATTCTTAATAAAAAAAAACAATAAAAAAGAACAAACAAAAAGCCCACCAAAAGCACCCACAGTTGCTGTTGAAACTGGAGCAAGGGGGGGGAGGTGGGGGAAGAGAGGGAGGGAAGGTAGTCTTTGAATCTCACTTTCTTCATGCAATTATTCTGCAGGCATTCTGTGGATCTCATCTGCTGGTGAATTTTCTCTTCCTCAAGTTCCAATGTTTTGAATCTTTATCACTGTTGACAGTTTATTGCTTGAATGTTTCTTTGGTGTTGTGTTTTCAGTTACATTTTAGGACACCTGTAGAAAAGCCAAATTATAATATGTAGTTTATTGGAGGTTTCATTTCTACTGTGAAATAAAAACACAAGGAACACTGGACTAAAAAAGAAAAAAGCAGCCATCATTTGGTGGGATTTCCGATGAAGAATAACAAATTGGCAGGATAAACCAAATCCATCTACAAGTTAAGACTATAGCCTCTTTGTATAAGATTACTTTGTGATGAATACAGAGAGACAAAAAAAAAGAAAAAGTTAAACAGAAGCAAACAGTTCCTTGGGTTGCCTACATAGGACTCTCAAAAGCCACTGCAACTATCTAATGCACTTAGGTCCTAGAGGCATACATAATGGTGTTTCAGTTGGAGAACAAGATTTACCTACATCACTTACCTGAAGGACAGTGAAGGTATCTGGGGAGTCAGACACTACTCAGCACCACTTCGCTCAGTCACTGGAGCAGGATTTCCAGGTGTTTCAGTCACCTTTGTCTGAGACACAATAAAACTACATTACAAGCAAAAAATGTCCTCCAAACCCTTTCTCTGTTCAGTAGTAGTGGTGTCACTACAGCTCAGCTTTAAAATAATCAAGGAAGTATTTTCTGAGAATTCATCTAACTGTAGGGAACATGAAGTTTAAGTATTATATAACAAGATTATCTCTGTACACTTTTTTCAAAAAAATCTCCAGAGGGATCACCTTAAGTGAAGTCCAATATAAAATGAGAGTATTCCCTCATTAGAGTCTGTTTGAAACTAGGTTACCAAAACAAGCTGGTTTAAGCAGATCAAAAAATAGATCTGGAGATTAAGTCCTCCTCTTTGCTTGGAAGACGCTTGCCTGGGGTAATGGGAAAGACACAATAGTCCCTGTCTACTTCAAAAGCACTAATTAAAATCTGATCCCTAATGAAAAATTAAGAACTACCCAGAAGTCATTCCTGTGCCACTGCTGGTTAGTGTTCTATTTAAGGAAAGTTGCTCGTTTTCAAACAAGGTCATAAGGAATAAGCAATTAAAATAAACTACCTTCACCACAAAGATATTAGATATAACCACCAGACTCTTCTAGCATACTAACAGTACACTTAAGGGATGTGTGCGTGAGGAGGGGTGGGTGGAGGGCAAAATGGTTATCTCCCAACAGGAGAGAGCATCTTGAACATTAGACCAGTCAACATCAGTTCCAAAACAAGTCTCTGCCAGGAGCGTACTTACCTCTTTCCCATCCTGAGCTGGAGCACTGGGCGGACGAGGTTGACGTGGGTAGTTATACGGGCGTCGATACCCACGGCGAAGTGGCTGCTGACTCGTAGCACTGGTCTCATGCTGATTCTCTTTTTCAGCCTCTCCAGCCACCTGGGCAGGGTGAGGACGTGGGGGTCCCCTGAAGAGGGGGAGAAATATTTATCAGGTGCATGGGAAGTTTGAGGTTTAGAACACAGTAACTTTGGCCCATCAAAAGTGTCTCTAATCCAGCAAGTTTTATCTTTAGTAGATCTGAATGATAGCAAAGCACCCCTTGGGAATTTAGCTGGCATAAAGTTAGAAGGAAAAAGAGTTAATTTTTCTGGGATATATGAGGAGCCTGGGCCTCTCCACTTTATTAGTATACTCTGCAAATCCAGTAATAAAGGGGCAGTGAGGTAATTTACTGGCTAGAAGCAGAAAAATAGCTAGTAGAGGCTGCACAGACCAACTCTGACCAGTTAGCCTTGGACTAGCTGTACATGAGGTCCAGCTCTATCCATAATTAAATGGTACAATTCCTTGGACCCCTTGTTCTACTCGTCAGCCCCTTCCTAGATCTCCCTTCCTCTTAGGCAACATATTATGTTGTCCCCTTAGCCATTAAAAAAATTACATGCAATATGCAACAGTTCACTTTCAACCTAAACATGTTTTGTTTAAAAAGTGTTGAAATATAGCTGAATGACAACAGAATTGCTTATTATCTAATTCCTATTAGCTCAAATTATTTACACCTGTCTAGCACCAAAAGCCAATTTATGTTTCCTAAAGAAGTTCAGGAGAAAAGCATGCTCTCACTGGATTTAGTACATATAGAGGCACGCAGTACCCATGTTTTACCAATCACCCATCAGTTACCAGAACCAGCATGAGTTTTACAAATAGAAGAGCTTAAGGGAGGTGCCAGAAAGCTTACAGTTCTAGATTCAACACCCAGAAGGGTGTCAATTTTATTATGCAGGGAAAGTGTTGTCATTAACTACAGCCTTGTAATTTCTACAGAATTTAGCTTCCGTTCCTGCAATGTATTTACTCCTTGTTAGTTTTCAATTAATATGCATACAAAAAATGGGGATTCTGCCCATTTCACTGCTCATTTCTCCAAATTCAGACTTGGAGCTTAACCTCATAAGGTATCTGGAAGGAAAGCAGGACACGATGAAGAGCAGATGAGGTGTATAGCAAGCAGTAGACTGGGCAATACAATTCATCTCCTTGAGAAGAGAGGAGATGATACTTCACAGAAAGTACTACTGAATACAATCCAGCACTTTCTCACTGGTTTTCAATTTATCTCACTCCCCAAGATAAAGGGGTCACAACAAGCCAGTAATGTGAATGATCTTTTCACCTTAAAGGTAATTAAGATGATAACATCTCAAAAGGTGTAACAGACAAAAGCTGAGTATTTCGGACTTTCATGTCCACAATGTGCTCTTAAGCCGTAGAATTGTTTCCTCTGTGTAAAAGGCAGAGGCTTGATTGGTCGTCAGAATTATGACCAGGAGAAAGAAAGGACAAGATAATCCTACATACAGAATCACAGAATCGTTAAGGTTGGGAAGGACCTCTAGAGCTCATCTAGTCCAACCACCCCACACACTGGCCAGTTTAACTAATACAGATGAACTCAGCAAGTTACTGCGCATATACCATTGAACCAGCACCAGCTTTATTTAACAGTCTATTGGGTCTCCAAGAGCCTATTTAGCCCAGTTTTATGAATCCTAGGGCACAGTAACAACAGGGAAAACATATACTATCTCCCCTAGAGTAGTTTCCCAGACTCCAACTATTTCCCCATTTTTCCCCAGGAAATTCCCCAAGGAAATGCCTGCCCACATGATAATACCATAACAGTGTTTTTTCAGCTATTTGAACAGTCTCCCTTTGAACTCATCCAAATTTAACACCCAAAATCTGGCAACAAAATCTCTGGAAATTTACTACCTGTTATATGCATAACAACCTCCTTTTGTTTTTCAGTCTGTCTCCTACTTCCTTCTCCTGCTCCTTAGCTTCCAATATCCACACTTTTTCCCCCGCTTCAGTCATTTGATGAATTTTATCTTTTCTGGGAAGCTCTCTAGCCACTTTAACACCTGCCTTTAAAAGATTAGAAATAATAGTTCCAATAATCCTCACATTTTATTACTCCTAAAGCAAAGCCATTGCTAGTATTAGGTTCCATGAAGACTCCTATTTTAGCTCTTGGCAATCTCCTCTGCTTGCATAGGATATTACAAAATTACTATAATATCACCCTGTGATTGTCTGTAACAGATAGGACATGACTTTGGTTCTTCCTCAAGAATAAGTAGTATCTCATGAATCTACAAGTCACACCAGTGCTTAGAACAACGCCTGAGCAGCAAGAGACAAATATCTCTGTGTGCCTGCATGTGACACATGGACAAAACAGGGCTGGAGGCATACCTGCACACAAACTACTTAGTTCAGCACTGAAGCACAAACTACTGGCTTCAGTCCATGGGGAAGGCAACAAAGCACACCTTGCCCCTGTAGATACTGGACATATCTGTCCCTGATCAAGTGGGATTTGGATTCAATACTTGCCCAAGAAAGATATGAGACAACTGCTGTAGAGATATGGAACCTGCAAGTTTTTAATACATTGCTCTTTTTTTTTTAAAAAAAAAAAGTACTTTCTTAATCTATTCCTGGACTTGAATAACATCACATTGACCTCTACCAAGGTTTCCTTACTCCTGGCGCTTGCCTTTCTCCTAGAAGGAGGTATTATGCTATGGTACCTACCACCTAAATATAGATGAATGGCAGGGAACATAACTTTGCCCTGTTATTAGTTAAGTCTGTACAGATCACACAAATAGCCCAAACCTGCGATAGCGGGGACGATAGGTAGGATTCCTATGGACTTGTTGATGAAGCTGTCCTCCTTCTGGGACCCCATCCTTGAGTTCTTCTTCACCACCCTCAACCAAAGAAAATGGAAGACAAAGATAAAGCATAATTTTAGAGGCAATACATTAACCATATAGAACAATAGCTGGATGTCAGATTAAACAGAACAATAAGTCAGTACAAAAATGCAAGCAGACCCGGTAAGCAGGAATCAGGTCCTCAGAAGGTTTTTGCTTTGGCAAAGAAGAGTAGGAAAGAATACAAACCAATAATGACGCTCTTGTTCCTTGTGCTAGCAGTCAGCAAAGAAACTACTTGATGAGCCTCCTCCCTTCCTCCAGGAAAGGGCAGAAATCTTAGAATGACAACATTGACAGTGAACTTTAAGAAAGTAACTCTAAATGAACTGAGAGATAAACATCTGGAAAGCCTGAAGTACTGCAGGCTGTAAGAAAAATCTTGGGGAATGGAACAGAATTCCCTGCCAGATCTTTATCAGATTAAAATCTCCTCCAAAAGCATTAATATTGCAGACATTTCTTATCGCATTCCACGTTTCCTAAAAACAGAAATGTGACCCAAAGATACAGAGTTTGAAATATATCAAGTACCTATATATTGCTATTCTTAGCAATTTGACAGGGCCAGCTACAGAAGAAAAAACAGAACTCAATACTAGAAAAAGTACACAAGACAAAGCACACTATCAGAGCAGTATATCAGATTTTATAAAACTGACAAAATTGGATAAATATTCAAAGAAATTCCCACTAAGTTACTGCAGGGAAGCAGGTATCTTCTAACAGCCACAGAGAATCATTTGAAGCCCAAACCCCAAAAGGAAAGTTAAAGTTTATAACAGGATACTATTACCTATGTTCATTTTGGGATACCGATTTATCTTCTATATGCAGAAGAAACATTTTAGAATAACTTTATGGTTTAATACATTTCCACCTCTATTTCTTCTTTAAATAGAGGTAGCAAAACCTTCAACATCCTGGGTTTCTATTAATTGCCCCTTTCCTCTCCCTTCTGCAAGACCTGAAAAAGGGAGGAAACAAAAACTCCAAGAAGCATGTCTCACAGGACAAAGAATTCCTTCAGCAAAACCAGCATTTCATTTTTCTATGACATCTAAGCAAACACACATGCATGCACCACTCTGTTTTAATACTAGTACCAGGAAAATGGAATCAAGTTTCTTGAAGGTGTTTGGGAGATGACATACCAGAAGTTAACAGAGCAACAA